GGGTCGGGGAGCCAGTCCGGGGTCGCCGAGCCGGGGGAGCCGCCGGGGGTAGTCGTCCGGGGCCGGCACCCCAGGGCCCGAGCCGACCCAGGCTGGAGCCGCCGGGGGCCAGCCTGGGCCGCGTCTCCTCCCCCCACACTCCCCCTTACCTGCTACAGGCTTCCCACGACTCAAATGTTCGCGGGAAGCAGGGGAGGGGGCGGAGACTTTGGGAGGGGGCGGAGTTGGGGGGGCATGGGCGGGGCCAGGGCCCCGGGGAGTGTCCTCCATTTGGAGGCACAAAATATGGTAACCCTAAGTAACCCTGTCTTGTGACACACTTCCCCTCCCAGGGGACTCTGGCAGTCCTGAACTCCTGCTTTCAGTAGTTTACTAGCTTGTTTCCTCTTTCAGCCAATTCCCCCTCACTGGTGCTATGTCTGTACTAGAAATGCTACAGTGACATATACTTACAGTGACGGAAGGGATTCTTCTGTTGCTGTAATAAATCCACCTCTCCAAATGGTGGTAACTAGAATTCTTCTGTCAACCTAGTGCTGTTTATGCTGCGGCTTAGGTCAGCTTAACTCTGTCTCCAAGGGGTGTGAAATTTTCACATCCCCGAGTGACATAGCTAAGGCCTTGGCTACACTCACGGATTCACAGTGCTGCCGCGGCAGCGCTGTGAAGCACGAGTGTAATTGCGCCGCCAGTGCTGCGAGAGCTCTCTCGCAGCGCTGCAAGTACTCCACCTCTCCGAGGGGAATAGCTTGCAGCGCTGCGAGCGAGCGAGCGTGCAGCGCTGCAGGCGCTGATTACACTGGCGCTTTACAGCGCTGCACTCGCTGCGCTCGGGGGGGGGTGTTTTTTCACACCCCTGAGCGCAGCAAGTGCAGCGCTGTGAATTGCCAGTGTAGCCAAGGCCTAAGTTTCAGGTGTAGACTAGCTCTGGGTCTCTCTCTGACCTTTTATAGCCCCAGGTACAGCCTGCCCCCTTAACTGACACAACTGGGAGCACTTGTTCTGGCAAAGGTTGTTGGATCTACCTCAGTTTCAGGGGCCAGCCACCCTGTGACAGGCCTAGTGTGATCATTTTTTATTCGTAACAAAAAGAACTATAAGTATATATGTGGTTTAATTTAGCCTAACTTTAAGAGCCTTCCTTAACCCAGTACAAGTAAGGGAATTAAAGGATGAACCTGAAATTTCATTGCAGGGTCTTCAAATACTGTGTGATCTTATATACTATACCATAAATTCTGCAGTAGCTTGGAACAATACATTGAATTAAGGATGGAGTTTCAGGCTTCACTTTGAATTTTCTTGCTTTTGAAGGTATTAAGTCAAGCTGGAAATGTTATTTGAAAAGGTTTTGTGTGTGTGGTTTAATGTAAATGGTAGTCTAATTTCTGTGCCTTTAAGCTCTGGTAATGCTGTAACATAAAAGAACAAAATCCATGTGGAAGTATGACTGATGCTGCATTAGTCTGTGGGTTGAAAATAAAAAGGATTATAAATGATTCACTAGGTGTAGAAAATAAGGTAAGAAGACTTATTGGGGGAAAAAAGTAAAAAGGTTTGTTCTGTTTATGCACAGCCTAAAGAAGGCACATAAAAGATATATGACCATCCACCTTGTTTTTATTTGTAAGGTGTATTTTATTGGCTTATTTTTATCACTAGCAGTAAATGTTTAGTTATCTAGTTACAATGAGACCAAGGTTGTTTCAATCATTAAACAAAACTAAGTCTATAATTACCTATTTTCTAAAGCTAGGAGTAAACTCCAACTTCCACATAATGTTAATGGAAAGATTATTGTAAAATTATTCATGTTAATGGTGAGATAAAACAGCAAAGCAAGGGAGTAAAGTCCAGCTTTCTATTGTGCTTCTGTGTAATTACAGAATGCATCACTGAATAGGAAGGAAAATGTTTAGTCTGCTTCCTATTTTTTGAGAACAAGTTTGCCCATCTCCAGTGGGGACATATTTAAATAGGAAGTGTATCCCAGGTGGTACAAAATTGAGCACTAAAGGAAATGACCACAATTTTCAAACCTGGGGGCCTCAAGCCAGGCATCTAAACCCATATTTAGGCATACAAATAGAACCATTTGGCATTTAGAGGTTTTTAACACTCACAGTTCCCAGCAACATCACTTCCCTTTTTTTTGTTGCATGTTAAATGTGTGCTGTCACCTGTCATTTTGATATGAAGTACTATGTAGCTGCCTGGCTCTGATCAATAGTAGTGTGTGGCTAAAGTCCTTGTGTGGTTTTCAACACACGGATTTCACTGACAATCTGAGAGCATGCTGCAGTAGTTATTCCTATAACTGGTTTTTGAGTATTTTTGTGCATTTCAGCCTCTTCCATGCTTTTTGATGCACAAGGAGCACATATAACCCACAAGCAGCGATATAATTTTTATTAAAAATAAAAAGTCATCCAACTGTACAACCAGTTTTAGATTTGTTTTTAATGCACTAGTGTGTGGGAATACCCAAGATCCCTCCTCAAAAGCCCTTGAATTGTGGTAACCTTCTCCCTACTCTGAAGTGTTACGGTTGTAACCACTTTCAAAGTATGTCAATGTTGACAATGGCCAAAGGAAATTGCTCAAAAATAGTGTGAGACATTAGTTTCTCCAGTGACTGAGTGTTATTCCTCAGCAATTCTCCAAGATCCTGGCAGCCTTGAGAATAACGGACCTAATAACAAATTTTAACTCATATAACCCTTATTTGGCAGCACTATAGACTGCCAGGGCAGCTTATCTATAACAAGATTAGTAATTATATGGTACTTGACAAACTTCCAGTTAATAATCACAACAGCTTTATGAGACAGGTAAGTGACAATTATTATTCCCACTTTAAAGATGGAGAAAATGGGAAAAAGAAGTTAAGTCCAAGTCCCTACAAGAAGCAGTTATCACAGCCAGGACTGTCTGACTCCCAGTCCTGTGCCTAAACTACCAGGTCATATGTATCTAATCTTGATAGAAAGAAGTGATGGTTTTGTGATTAAGGCACTGGACTGGGAATTAGGAGATCAGAGTTTGATTTTACATTCTGTGTGATTTTGAGCAAGTCTTTTAACCTCTCCGTGCCTCAGTTTCCTCATCTGTAAAATGGGGATAATATTACTCTCACAATAGACTTGTGAGATTAAGCACATACATTCTCATATTATGGTACAGAAAAATCTTTAAATGAAATCTGAGGTGAACAATTTCAAACCTGGGTGCTTAAAATAGGCTCCTAAATAAGGGTCCTGATTTTCAAAGGTGCTGAGCACTCAAACTCTAATGAAGGCTATGGGAACTCACCACCTATGAAAACAATCAGCCCAATTATTTAGGTACCTATCTTTAGGTATCCATTTTAGAAAATGTTGGTCTAATTTCCCATTAATGAGAGCTCACAGGACAAAATACTGACTGACTCATCAGACAAAACTGGTGTTGAAGTCAATGGAAGGTTTGACTGTGAAAAGAATTGTGAAAAGTTCAACATGTGGTTCCTGTTGCAGTAAGGTCAACAGCTATTAAATAATGACAATAAAAATGTGATTGCTGAAAGTTTAAGTTTTAAAAATAATATTGTCTCCTTCAAGTATTGACAGCATAGATCCCTACTCTGAGCCATGCCAAAGGTCTAAGCACCTATATTAGAACTTCTGGAAATCATGGACTGACCATTTGTTGTGAAGTTATATAAGGAGATATGCCTGCCCCCCAATTCTTCTTAGACCTCAGGCTCCTTCTTCCTTTTTTCCCCCCTTGCAGCCACTTCTATTATTATTCAGTGGGGCAGCCACCTCATCCCTTTAGATGTTGTGCTTCATGGTCCATTTATACACAACAGAATTGTCTGCTGGGGATGCAGATCATTTGGTGGATGGAGAACAAGAACCGCTACAATGTTGTTGTTCTTCTTTTACTGATGCTAATATGAGATTTTCTTTGATCTTGCTACTCTATGACTTCAGAAGCTTTCAAGACCTTCTAAGAAGGGTGGTGGAAAATCTGGATATCCAAATTTTGGTAGTTCAGGAAAAGACCTATCAGTTGATAGCCTATTGATAATTAATCATTGCAACCATTTACCCAGGGTCATGGTGAATTCTGCACCACTGACAAGTTTTAAATCAAGATTGGGAAATATTACCTCTGTTTGTTGACTAGATTCTCCTACCATTGTAGCACCTTCTAGAGATGGAGAGAGAGAGAATATCAAAGCCTTAGTTTCCGAATGGGAAAAAATACTTCGTAGTGGTGTATTTCACTCATGACACTGCAGTCAACTCAGTTGTAACAGTTACAATGCACTCTTAATTTTGACAGAAGAACTCCACCCTGTCTTTTGAGGTCAAGGTTAAAACAGAGGAAATGCTATTTGAAAGCCCAAACCTGTTCATTGTTAAAATAGAAGACACTCTTGAGATAATGGACATGTGCGCCTCCTTTCAGTCCTTGAGCCTTTTGCATATCATCTTGAAGAGGAAATCCACTCCATTCGGGTGTAATAGAGGTAGTCCTTTCCCCAGCAATGCAGAGGGTCTGTATCAACAGCTTCTTAAGAAATAGCCTTTCTCCAAACAGAATAGCAATCATGGAAAAGTCAAAGCCCTCATCTTTCACTTTATCCAGAGCATCTTCTAATGAGTAGTAAATTTGATGTGATATCAGTGAGACTACCTGTAAATCGAGAGGATGTCCACTACTCCATATTGCCTTATGGAAATAGTCTCTCCTTCATTATGGCATGGAGTAGAGCTGCTTTTTAACAAGTAAGACCTACAAAATATTCACAAAGAATATGTTCTTTAATTCCATTCCTTGATTCCATTTCCCCTCTCTTTTTCAGGGATTCTTTTCATGAGGAATTGCTAATGGAAGAAGTAGTTTCTTTCTTCCAATTACACACTCCATAAGAAGTCTCTCAACAACACAAAGCATGTATTTTCTTATTTATCATTCCAAAGAAATAAGCTAGACATCGTTCCACAATGGAGTTAAGAAAACAGAAGAGGTACATGAAAAGCTTCAAGTTCTGTATGATAACTTTAGTTTGTTTTATCTCTTCCCTAAGTCCACAAGATTGGTTTGTGGGTCTCAGTTCAAAGGTGCTTATTTCCACATTTCTTTCACACCAAGCCATTGAAAAATACTTGAGGTTCTGCATGAACAATGACCAATTCTACAGCAGAATACTCCCTTTTGGCCTTTCAGCAGCTCCAAGAGTCTTCACAGAATGCCTGCCAACCCATAAGTCCAGATTCTCAGCCGAGAGCTGTACCCTTTGAATCACCCAGGCAGTGCAAGATGGTCTGATTCTGGCTCAAGTGGTGTAGAACTCCTCACTGCCATAAAGCATGCAGAGGTGGCTCCTGCACTAGCTATCCCTCTCCCCACCATATGGAGTGTGTTGGGGAGAAAAGAGTCATTATAGGAACAGAAACGGGGAGTGGCAGAGTGGAGCTCAGTTATGTCTATCATCCACTGACTCCATTAGCAACTCTCTGTGTAAGTTAGAGCAGTCCATTGGCTGTTTTTTTCTTCTTGTTGGGGCCAACACACTCTGGTTCTCTGAGTCAGGGAGGTGTAACTAGCTGCCTGTCTCTGCTCTGCTCAGTTAAACTCTGTGGCAGGAGAAAATTTGGCCTGTCAAGTTATCCATGTGTACCCTACTTTAGTAATTACCTTTTAAGAGCTTGCTTTCTCTCTACAAGGGATCTAGTTGGGCCTACAGACAGTGTGTGTTCTATTCTGTTCTTTGAACCAGAGGCTAAACCACAAAAATATCCAAGGACTTTAAAAAAAAATTAGTATTTGACATGCATTACAGAAAAATAATCCTAAATCTGGGCAATTCAGTTTGCAGAACATCTGAACATAGTTACTTTCAGAGTATGAATCAAACCCAAATCCATTCCCATCCATCAGCTTTATTTAATTATTTTGAAATCACTCTCCATTACTGCCCCCAGAACTTAACTTACATTTCCCCCATTTATATTCATATATTTATAACAATCGGATATCCAATGAGAAACGGACATTTTTGTGATATATCTTACCCATCTAAATGTGTCAACACATAGCAGAGGATCCCTTTTTAGAGGGTGCAAGATTTGGTCAATGTCAGCTGCATTAAAAAGGCGCCTAGTCTGGTTTACAAATTGTAGAGAGAGGCTTAAACAATAACTATTTGAAAATATTCAATCAATAGTAATTTCTTGCCATGCGTGGATATTCTACTAGACAAAAAAAAGTTTGCTTTGCAAAAGGATTGTGATAAGAATTGCATCTTTTTGCGGTACAGTAGAAAATTTCAGAAACTACCTGCAGTTTTTATGCATCAACCACAGAGGATGTCAGTGCTGTAAAATGAATAACACATTAATTGCCTAGTATTGAGAGGACTGTTTGCCTCAAATATAAATGGAAACACTGCAATTGTAGATTTAAAGTGTTCAGTAGCACATGTAGAGGATATATAACTTATAAACAATTTAAATATTGATGTGAACATGGTACAGTACATCATAGGAACAAAGAAGTTAGAAATGGAAGAGATCCATTAAATCATTAAGGCCATACCCCTGCAAGTATAGTATGTAGTCCTTTCAACAGAGGACATGTTGTGTATTTAACCAAAACAAGTACTCTCCCCCCCAATCAGTAGTTAAAGCTTATGCTGCATAATGACAGAAATAACAAGGACATGTGATAATGGTTCTAGCCAGCCGCTCAGGTGCCATTAGGGAATAATGCACCAGTAAAGCTCAGAGTAACAATATCGGTGTATAACAAAAAAATATTCTATATTTTTATATCAGTGCCCTTACTAGTATGGATGGCTATTTCATATCTGTGTATAGACTTTTCTTTTTTAATCCATTAAACAGATGTTAATTTCCTTTGGTAGAAAAAGAACACGGCAGATATTTTGGTCAGAGTCTCAGGCAGGCACTAATTCTAAATAATGCTTCTAATAAAGTAACACTCCAGAAGGGCTATAGATTTACATCAGTCTTCAGAGGCTGCTGATGCCACCTACAGACTATCAGCTATTGCTACAGCTTCTAAACTCATATAAAGACCTTTGCCTCTGAGGATTATTCTGACACTGACTCAGAGGACTGTGCTCTTTTTGCCTTTAAACAAAATACGCTGTATCCAGAAAGCATTTGCTTTCTCACATTGGGATGTTTTGTGCACTTCTGAGGAACTGAAGGATTTACAACAGTTTTGGAGTTAAAGAAATGGCCTGATGAATTTGTCACATGACATATGTTTTAATGT